AGGTATCATCAATATGCAGATGATACCCATTTATACATCTCCATCCCGGGTGACTTGAGTGATGCCATAACCACCCTTTTGCGCTGCCTGGAGGCTGTGGGGGTCTGGATGGGGAACAACAGGCTTCAGCTGAACCAGATGGAGTGGCTGTGAACTGGAGGCCCCTCTGTATACGAGAACTTACCATCTTTGGTTTTGGACAGGGTTGCACTGCCCCAAACAGATCCGGTGCATAATCTGGGGGTCCTTCTGGACTCGCAACTCCTGCTTGAGGAGCAGGTGGCAGTTGTGGCCAGGAGGGCCTTTGCCCACCTTTGTGTGGTGCACCAGTTACACCCTTTCTTGGATCAGGAGGCTCTCCGGTCAGTCACTCATGCCCTGGTCATCTCTCAGTTAAACTATTGCAATGCATGGGGCTACCCTTGAACAGTATCCGGAAGCTACAGCTCGTTCAAAATGCAGCCACGTGGATATTAGGTGCCCCTAGGATGGCACATGTAACACTTTTGCTGCGGGAGTTGCATTGGGTGTCAGTTTGCTTCTGGGTCTAATTCAAGGTGTTGGTTATCACCTTTAAAGCCCAACATGGCATGGGTCCAGGTTACCTGAGGGACCATCTCATCCCCATTACATCAACCCATCCCCCCCCAGTCAGGCAGAGAGGGCACGTTGTGGACCTTGTCAGTGAGAGAATGTCAACTGGTGGGGCCCAGGAAGAGAGCTTTCTCTGCCATTGCCCCTGCCCCTTGGAATATTCTCCCCCAGAGGTGCGGCGGGCCCCTGCTCTCCTGGCTTTCCGGAAAGGATTAAAGACCTGGCTCTGCCAACATGCATGGGGAGATATGAGCTCTAACCATCCCTGGGGGTGGTTAGCATCCTGATGACACTCCCCAAGGTAATTCACCAATTCTCCATCTTTCTTGGAAGCTATTTATTATTAGGATTGTTTTTATATTGTTTTTTTAATATTGCATTTTAATTGATTTTATCTCTGCTGTAAACCACCCAGTTATTTCAACTAGACCACAGCCACCTACTTTTTTCCGCCCCAAAATGCACATAGAGTCTACTAGATTTCTTTGGGCACTACTGGAAAAATACTTTACACTTGAGATTGTTGGTTTGTTTTAAACATACTAGCTTCTTACATTTTGAAAAAATGGCACAGGTGCCAAGGAAAGTCTCAGCAGAAACATTACAACTTTGGGTACCACACTGGGGACCTAGTGCTACCATCAAGCAGCTACCGTACTTACTTCTGCCACTATTTTGGCTAAACTGTGCTCAGAATCAGGTGACAAGAGTTTCTTCTGGCGTTCTGTTATTTCATCTAAAGGAGCTTTCTAAGATAGAAGAGAAAGCATAACTGAAGTTGCAGATAGACAAGACTGTATGAGGTGCATGGTGCTGGGAAAGTACAAGTTCTTAACCTTGAGCAGTACTGTACAGAGGCTGAAAGTTACCAGACTATAAAAAGCCCATGTTTTTCACATGGTGGTAACTGGCGCAGCCACACACAAGGGCTATGCCTACCCAGAGCACAATTCAAAATGTGTGTTTATTGATACAACCCTGAAGAAAGATTTCTCAGGAGCGCATCTTGAGAGATGGACCATGCACCGCCTCCCTCATTCCCCACTTACTTAGACACAGGAGTAATTTTTGGAAGATGAAACGTTTCTCCGTGTTGGCTACAAAGGAGGGATTTTTAAAAAAATGATCTATAATGTTCACTTGAAAAGCATTCATTACAGATAAACAGCTTCTTTTTTTATGGCCTCTACGGGACCCAGATTGGACTCTTGTGTGCTAACGTATTTGATGGGCTGAAGCCACAAGAATGAATTGTTAAAGTTAAATGCTTTTGTCAAAGTCTGCATTTGTTTGGATTCTAATAGGTAGGATGTAATGACTGGAAAACATGGAGAAATGGAGCCAGACAGCTGCCATCCAAGGTTCAGGAAAGAGGATTCTCCCGGGATAGGCTATTCTCCTGAAGTGATCTCTGCTATTGTTAAGAATGAGCTTATTCACCAGTTTATAGCATAGAGCAAAGCAATCTTTTGATCCTAAAGATCACATGCAGAGCTAATCAGTGGATTAGAAATTATGTGCATACACATTCAGGTTCTCCCTGCTGGATAGAGAAGAGGGGAACCTCCCTTTTTTTAGCAAAAAGACTTCACGTATTTCCCAACCTTGAGAAAATTGGGAATTGCAGGTGGAGAGGTGCAAAGAATCTAGGGATGGGATCCATGGGGAAGGAAGAGAGTTAAAGCCTCTTGCCCATGGTCGTCCAAGGAAACAGAAAGACTAAAACAGTATCCCCACTATCCAACTCATTGTTGATCAGCTGCAATGCTGTCAGCCCTTCAAGGTAGATCGGGCCAAGAAATGGACACCGCAGCAGTTTCAGGAATGCTACTTTACTGCTGTAGAACAGCTAACACTGCTAGCTGGGGAATTCTGGGAGTTGAAGTCCACACATCTTAAAGTTGCCAGATTAAAAAACACTGCTGTAAAGTATATTAACAGAATCCTGAAAGCCTGTCAGAATCCCTCTCTGCCCTACCTTATATCAGACAAAATCAAGGCAGGGTTATTTTGAGTTTCTTTCTCATGCTTTCCACTTTCTCACAACTGAGTTGCTGAGTTCCCTTAACAGTTTTGGCATTCCTTTTCCAGGGTCATCTCTACATTCCCTTACAAATGCAGAGGAAAGTAGAGGGAGACAGGCATGAAAGTGGAGTGTAATGAGACCTTACTTCAACTTTGTTAACAGGGATGGACAATTTTTTTGAGGCAGAGGGCTTCATTTGGGAAGCCATTCCACCGTATTCCAAACCACAGCTTTATTCCAGATATACCTATTCATATGCTAGAGTTTTAAAAAAGAGAGGGGCTAAGATCTTCAGTGATGATACACAATTAACATGACACATAGTTTTACTTCATGAGCTCCTGAATGAAAGGTAGGATATACATCAAATCAGATCAATCATCAATCAATCAATCAATCAATCAGGAGCTGCTGGGTTTGAACTAGAACATTTCAAATGTTTATGTAGCCATCCCATGTGTTGGGGCACAGAATTGCCTGTTACAATTTGTGCTTAGGCACCTCAGTATCCCTCAGGCCTGGACTGATGCAACCCACTTAGCCTGCGGTCATTTGCTTGGATATGGAGCCCTGAGCATGGCGGTGGAGGAGGAAGGAGGAGGAGAAGAATTTACAAACTTGAAAGAAAAGCATTTTTTTCACCTGCATGAACTATTTGGAGAACTCCTGAGAGAGAAGCTCCCTATTAATCCATAGCATCACAAACTTTAGAGGACTTATACAGAAGTCCTCAGAGACCAGTCAAATCATTCAGTTGTCTTAACAGTCTGGGAAGAGTACTGTAATGTGAAAAAGATCTGGGAATGAGTTTGCAAAAGCACTGAAACTGGAGCTAGCATCAGAAGAAGAAACAGGGAAGAGAACTATTGGGACTGGAACAAGATACTGAGAAGACTGTGGATCTATCAATATTTAACAGACGGTTAGCATTTATTAAATAGAGCTTAAAATGATGCAATGGGAGATAGTTTTGCCTATTTTCTCTAATATTTTAATATATATGGACTTCCTCCACATTTCCAGTAATAATTCCTTCTGAGGTGCATTTTTATCTTATAAAATTGGCTCATTCTTAAATACCTGAATATTCTGTTTTGCTCCAGATCTCCTGAGGCCCTAATGCATTAACAGAAGCTACTGAAATACATTCTAATTATGTGAATGGAGTAATTGCTTCACTTGTCAGGAGTCTGACACAAAGTACATCAGTTTATATTCATGTGTAATTGCTTGCATTTATCCATAGACACAAGATTTTCATAATTTGTGTAACTTACATTATCAGGACTACAGGCACATTCTGGTGATACTTTAAAGTTGCTATTCTGAAGAACGACTTCTGTGCTTTGTCCTGGGATAGAATAAGACCTTTTGAGCAATCCTCCCAAATTACCGATTCCAGAAGCAGATGCTATTCCTTCTACTTCTCCAATGTGGCCATGAGAAAATCAGCAGCTTTTCTTTCCTTTTCATTATATCTAAAACTGTGATTAATATTAGCTAGGGTTTATTTTAACAAGTTTGGATCACTATTCACTGTTTCATCTTGTCTTATTAAAAGTAACCAAACTTGTCCATATATAATGAATAAGGCATAGTGAGCTGAAATGGGGTAAAAATTAAAATCTCCTCTTTATAGCAACTCCAGGGAGGATGAGAGAAGTCTGATAAGCCCAGAGTTAATATTGTAGCAACACAGTTTAGGAGATAAATAATGGCTTAACAAACATCTCTACCTTTTTTCAGTAATGAAGTTTTTTGGGGGCAGGGGAAGGAACTGAAATAGTTTCACAACATTTTGAAAAAGAAACATTTCCTTTTTCAACTTAGCCATTCCAAGAATTTTGTTGGGTGATTTCCTACACTCAATAACTTTTTGGGGTTTTTTTCCCCCCCTGAATTCTGATATGTGAGAAAAGGGGACATTAATTCTGACCTTGCATGTATTAGACTACTCCAGACACAGTGAGAATCAGACAGCTCTCCCAATGATTTGTTCAGATATTATCTGTATCATTAATTCTGCCAAGCAACTGGACCATGCATTTATATGAAAATAGCTGCCAACTGGAATATAAGATTATAGGTTTTCACATGGTGATCTGTTTTTATTTTGTTCCAACAAACAAGCTTTTGGGATGTGAACAAAGCAGTGCACAAGCATGCTACTTATGCATCAGACATAAATTGTTTGTTGTGCAAAGTAATTCACTCGATAGGCCCACTGAAATCAATGGGCCTTAAATTACCTTACTCTAGATATGGATGAAGCCAATTAGTGTTAATTTTATCCACTGATAATAGCAAAGACTAAGTAATCATTATGTTCATATGCAGAGAGAGCAACATTCATTCAGTGGATGGTTACTAGGCATTACCTTTTGCTGCAACGTTTTCCCTTTCACAATCCTCCAGCTTGCTCTGCTCTCCAGCCGCTGCTCCTGGGCATTGCTTCATCAACTGCAGAAGCTTGCTTTCATAAACGGTTCTTGTGGAAGCTAAAACAAATAGACCAGCCTATAAAAGCATTTTGCTTTGATTTGTTGTACTTCTCAGTATTGTATAACTGAATGGGAATTTTAACCACACAGAGCACTTGATAATCACAGAGGGTGTCTCACATTTATACATCACTTTCTTCTCTGGAAGCTCAAGGCAGTATATATAGGGGGCCTCCACTTATTTTATCTCTACAATCCTGTGAGGTAAGTTGAGCTGAAAAAGAAAGCCTATCTAAAAATTACCCAGTGTGCTACTCCATGACTGAGTGGGAATTTGAACCTGAGTCTCCTCAGGCCAAGTCCAACACCTTAAGCATTATCATATACCTGCTGTCTTAAGCATTCTTCAAATGTTTGAAGAACATTATCATGTTCCCACCTTGGTCTTCTCTTCTACAGGCTAAATAACCAGCAACTTCAAATCTTCACTCGACTTGTTTCACTATACCTGATGACATTTATTGACTTCATCCAATTTATCTATAATACTCTTAAAAGCCTGGTCAAAAGCTAATGTCAACCTTGAGATGCTTTTCACATCTATCCATTCATCCAGGTGCCTCTCATCCTACAACTATGCTTTTTTTTTTTTGCCTAAATTCAGAAACAATACAAAAATAAAAAATAATCTCTTTTTAATACTTTTATATCCACTTTGAAATGTACTCCTTTCTTTGAGGTACTGTATTTCCTGTTTTATGTCATCTAAAAACTCAGAACGGATTCATTCCACCCTTCAGCTAAATCATTCATCATAAAAATGCTGAAAAATATTAGTGGAAGAACAGAATCCTTCTGGTTCAGGACCAGAAAGAGTATGAGCATATTAAAAATCTAGAGAATTTAGTAAATGCTTTTCATCATTTCAAAATGCCCAGTTTGGGCTCTCATAGTAAAAGTCCTTATTTTTAGCTCAGAGTTCATTAACTATACAACATTCACAATTTTGAAAATTTGAAGCATAGTATGCAGTAGCACACCCAGGGCCCACAAGATAAAACAGAATATACACCCGAATAAACTAAGGCACACACATTCAGCTTCTGCTATTATACAATATAGCCACAAGAAAGAAGGCATCTCAGACAGTTGCACTTCTATTCCCTGATCAGAATTAGCTCGCCTCAAGCTGGATGTGTTTCAAGAATCATTGCCTGCAAGTTAAAAAAAGGGGGGGAAACGCTAGTGGAAATATGTAATATCAACTCCTGGCTGTAGTACTGAGCTCAGCTTTTCTTTATATCTCCCAAGATCATCATTCAACTGATGCATACGTAATATTGGTCCAGGGCTGACTCCATATAAACAAAGCTGCTTCCATAGCTCAGTGTCAGTCAGAGTTTTAACATCAACTTCCTCTTCCAAGCTTTGTTCTGTTGTGTCTTGTTCCTTGCTTTCTATATGCAGGTCTACAGTAACATTCTCCATGTCTCCAAATAGTGAGCCTATGAAAGCAAGCATAATGCTGGTTAAGAGTTTGCTCTTTGCTTCAGTGCTTTTTAAAAAAATATTCATTAACTGCTTTTGTATCTAATAAACACATATTACTTAGCTCAACTAATGTACCTGGATTCTTGCCAGTCTTGAAATGATTTCAAAATGATTTATCAGTATTATCAAATGAACACTATTACAGTGTTTATAAGCTCTGTGAGCATTCATAAAATCACAGACATCAAATTATATATAAAGTGGCATATTTCACTGGCAATTAAAAACAGGAAAAAAAATCCCAGTTCCAAAGAAAAAGATACAGTACGCAAGTTACACTGGAGAGAGAGATCGCACATGGAACCATAATATACCTGACAGTTGGATGTAACACATTGCTACCAAAATTGGTAATCACATCTCTACTATTCTTTCTTTCTTGCCTTGAAGGGGGCACCCCTAACATTTGCAAGTCAGATGTCATGGGCTCAGTTTAGTCTTCCTTGCATTCCCTGCCCCCCCGCCCCCTGGTCCCCGGGCTCAGAAACTGATGATCTATAAGAAGAGACAGTAGCAAGCAATCATACAGTAGATGGATGTTCACTGTTGAGGTCCACATGCCCCACCACCATCATTTGCACTCCTTAGAGCCCCCCCAAATTGTGCTGCCAAAATTTGACACTGTGATTTTCTGAGGAAACTTTAGGGGACTGCAGTTTAAAATTTGGATAGTGGATAGTATTGTTTAATCTAAAGTTTAATATTGTTTTTGTTTACTGGTTTTTAAAACAATTTTCAGTGTTTTTATCTGGCTCCATCTGGAAGACAAGGCGAGTAGCGGAACAAAACGCACGCTGCAGTGGAAGCCTAACATGGGGATCTATTGGTATTAAGTCTCTGTACATCTAGCCTATAGATCTAGCCTATAGATGTTGCCATGTGTAATACCCACAGAAATGCTCAACCATGTGAATTTAATATACTGTATATCCAACACTGCTAAACAGTACACTGTAAAAATGCACATAGACTATTAAGGACCAACAAGGTTTACATTTCACTTCAGTGGGCAACACTGCATTTGTTGATTTTTTTTTTTTTTTGGTCTTTTCTACTCAGTATTGCTTTAAAATTATTTAAGATACATGAAAGCAGAGATGGCACCTCCAGAACGGGGTGTCAGACTAAGGTGCTGCTGATCTGCCTTAGGAAACTTAGCTGGCCCAGAATTATTGCCAGCAGCGTGTCACAGATTCAGAGCCCCCGTGGCCTCCCACCATGGTCTGGGATCAATCCCCAGCAGTTTTCTTTCTGGTTGATTATTGTGGAAGGGACAACAGAAGGATTTATTGGGGTGAGGTTGGGATCCCCAGCCTCCCCTTACATGGACTAAGCTGGGAAGCCTTTCAAAGTGAAACCACTCAGGGTCTTGGGAGTTGGGCAGCATATAAATTTAATTAATAAATATAATTAATAATGTGGCAGATATGCTGTTAACTAATGGTCTTACCACTTGTCATTCTGTCACCTTTGTTTTACTATTAAAAGAAGTTTTCTTCAGAACAACCGTAACCACAATATTTCTAAAGTTAAAGCGCTTTTCATACTGCTCAAGATAATCCACCCACACTACCATAGTTTTTTCAAGGTACTTCTAAACGGCCTTCAACAGAAAACGTGTATGCATGTCTCTCTCTCTCTTTCCCGCTCCGCTTTTTAAGATTCAGCCTCCTCTTTTGTCATCTTGAAGAGTGGCAACTTGTACCTTCTTCGTTTATTTTTCCTTCCAGGATTTCCCGTTTGATCTTCTATTTTCCATGATTTCAGCTACACTCATCGTGTTTTACCGAGACAATGAGCCGCCTCCCGCGGCCCCAACACCTTTATTACGTATTTCTTGACTTCAGTCCTTCCCACGTGTTAGCTTTCCTCCCCTTGTTACAATCCACAAACAGCCCGTGGTCTTGCTGTGCTTTAAAGAGAAACTACGAGCGCGGGGAAGATTTTTAAACCATCTCTGCCTATATTTCAGTAAAATAAATCCCTCTTTCGGAAAGGGACACCATGACCCCGACGTGATTCGAACACGCAGCCTTCTGATCTGGAGTCAGACGCGCTACCGTTGCGCCACGAGGTCTTGCGGCTCAAGCTGCAAGCAAACATCCAAGAGACTGCTAATCTCGTTCCGTTTCGGATTTTCCCCCCCTTCTCTTCACGCATGCGCCTGAGCTCTCTCGCATTTAAACATCGGCTTAAGATGTTTTGTTTTCCCTTTATTTCTACCACTGAATTCTCTATGTGAAACGGTAAACCACAATATCACTTCGCTTCATCCTTTCTGAGGATACAAGGGGCAATTCCTGCACACGCTCCCCCGGGACGCTAAACCCCCGTTTGGACAGACGCCAGCGAGTCAACGGGCAGACCGCGCCTCCCGCGAAAAAAAGCCCACGCGAGCGCAGGACGTGTGAGGTAAGAGAAGAGGTGGCGGGCGCTACCATTTGCCGCTCCCCAGTGGGGAGTCGTCATTTTTGTTGTTCAGGATCCCTAAAAGTTTAGGGGGCGTGCAGTGCTGTGTTTTTCTTAAAGCGCACACTTATAAAAGGCGGCTTTAAACGACGGTTGCACTCCTTCAGGATATCGTAGCTTTCTTGATCTATCGCAGCAAGGCAGGCGTCCTCCCCTCCAAATTCTTCTGGCGTACGCTCGACTACCAGGTTTGTTAATGCAGTAGTGCTTGTGGGTAACAGCGTATTTCTGAGGCTTGAAATATTATCCTTATTTACCAAATTACGGCATGCTTTTGATAAAGAAGACTCCACTTCCCGGTGGTAAATCTGTGGCTCTGCAGATTGTTGGATTTCAGCTTGCATCCAGCAGAGTATGGAGTAATGGAAATTGGAAGCTATGTGGAGATTGATTGATTGATTATGTGCTATCAAGTCATTGTCGTAGCCACATAGATACCGAACATTTTCTCCATGATGATTTGTCCCTAACCTGATCTTCCAGGTCTTCCAATGATTCATTCATTGCTACTGTAACTGAATTCATCCACCTTGCTGCTGGTCATCCTCTCTTCTCTTTCCTTCCACCTTTCCCAGCATTAGAGCCTTTTCCAGGGAGAGAGAGAGCTTCGCATAATGTGTCCCAAAGTAGAATAATTTGAGCTTGATCATTTGTGCCTCAAGTGAGAACTCTGAGTTGATTGGTTTGGTGATCCATCAGCTTGTTTTCTTGGCAGTCCCTGATATTCTCAGGAGTATTCTCCAACACCAAAACTCAAAAGTGTCAATATCTTCCTATCCGGTTTCTTCAAAGTCCAAGTTTTGCTTCCATAGAGTGTCACAGGGAGTACCATGGCTTGCACAGTTCTGATCTTTGTAGGTATAGACACATCATGACATCTGAATATCTTTTCCAAGGCCCTCATGGCTGCTCTGCCAAGTGTTAGGATAATGGAATGTGGGAATGACCTTGGGAGACAGGATGGAGAACCGCAGCCTGGACAAGCAGCTTGCAAAAGATATCTCAGCCCTCAGTGGCGGGGGTGGGTGGGGGTGGCGGGGGGGGAGGAAAACATTTCAGAAGGGACCCTCCCTAGTTTTCTGGAGAGTAAATGGAAAGAATGGAAGAAATACTTTCATCTTGTAATATTCTATTAATGTAACCTAACAATAAAGATGGAGCTAGTACTCCTGGTTGTGCTTCTTGTCTGGACTACCTCTCAGGTCTAACAGCTAGTCTGTGGTATATTTTTTGACTGCTCATTCTTTTACTATTGATGGTTGATCCTAAAAGGCAGAAGCTATCCACCACTTCAGTATCTTCATTCATATGTGTGAAGACCATGGTGGAAGATGCCTTTATTGTTTTTCTGTATGGAGGGAAAGTAATAAGATTTAATGTGTAAACTACAGAGTTGTTACTTTGTTAAGTAGGCCTGGGAAGGTGTTTGGCAGAATCCTAATTGAAAGGGTTCAGGAGGTGACAGTGAACAAAGTTTGGGATATTCAGTGGGGTTTTATGCCAGGCAAGGTATGGTCAGACCAGATTTTTGCTCTTCATCAAAAAAGGAGTTAACATTTACATTGCTTACCACAAAAGGAAATAGTGTGGTGGATATGTATGTACTGTATATACTGGAGCATAACATGCAATCATCTCCAACATATGAATTCTTATTAATTCGTATTTTCTGATACACATTTTAGTTCATAATTAAGCTATACCTTCATTTCCAAGCATATCTAACTCTATCTCTATCTAGATATCAGCTCCATTCCACAAGATCAGACCACTTTTATTTAGATTTAAGCTTTTCTTTTTTCTTAGTTTCTCAGACACTCCATCCATCCATCCATCTCTCTATCTACAGTATCTATCTTTATTTCATTAATTCATACTTAACCATTTACTCCTCTTACATTCTGTGTTGAAATCTTCTGTCTCCCAGTGTCATCAACAGAAGAGCCTATGAATGTTGATCACCATTCATCATGGCTTTAGTCAACAAAGCTTTTTATTACCTTAAGAAAGGGGAGGTTAGGTTAACAGCCTCAGTTATAACTATGCCACATGCACCATTCCCAGCTAATGGTAAGGATATAATAGTTGTCAGCTTTGAAATATTTGAGGCAGTATGCCACAAGCATGCCAAAGCCTGGGTTTGTTCTGAGCACGCTCATGCTATTCTATGCATGTTAGAATTTTTAATCTGAAGATTTCATTGCAAGTCTGTGCTGTTGTCCACATCCCACCAACTAGGAGGTATATGCAGAGTATTAATACACTCAGGATACTTCTCCATATTAAACACATCATTTTAATGTAAGGAAGGTCTAAGCTCAATGCAAAAAATTCTACAGAATAATGACAATGCTACATGAGCCTACTGTGGTTTATTACAGTTCAGTAAATACTAGGTGCTTCCTTCCAATTTCATAATCTCCATTAATCAAGAGCATATTGAAGAGAGAGGAAGGAAGATGACAACCTCCACATAAATCTGCTAATTTGGACTCCTTCCTTTCCGTTCCACTGGATTGTTACCCTCAATGGTCTTGTTAGAAGAATACTGGTTTTTTGTTTGGTTGTTTGTTTTGATATGATGTGTCCTTAGGGAGGATTGTCATTCTGAAAGGTGAAATTTAAACGTAATAAGACAAAAGGATACAGGCTTCTTCAATCTGCTGCTTCCAGAGATTTTGGATTAACTCCTAAACCAGCATAGGGGGCACTAGGAGAAGAATGATGCAATGAAATAAAGACAGGGATGTAAAAGAGTCACCCTCTTACCAAATTGCTACTCCGAAAATACAACAGCCAGCCGTATAAGTAGAGCTTGGAACCTGAGCCAATGGACATTTAATCGGGCTTCAAATAAAATCTGCTGATTTCAGTGGAGGTTGCAATGAAGTAATAAAGAGTCTTCTGTCATCTTAAAAATGAACACTTCTTCCAGTGGAAGTTTCTATGAACTAAAGTTTACTTTATCAGATATGGGCAACTATATTATATTGTAGCCACAGAAATCTTATCCATATACAGTTGTGTGAAAAAGAAAGTACACCCTCTTTGAGTTCTATGGTTTTACATATC